AGTTTTGAGATATCAGGCTTTAAAGTTGAGGATGCTTTTTCCTCCATTTTCGTCAGAAATCTGCTCTCTGCATCAGTCTTGATGCATTCTATGGCATTCACATGTATTCTGAAGTGTATCCCCCCTCCTTTTCCAAGGGACTAATGGCAATGAGTGCCCATGACTGTAAAGATGCCGCATGTCGCCAGAGGCTTCCAATGCTTCCCAAGGCATTTTATATGAATAAACAACGGCTGCAGCTGTTATAGATATGTATTTCTCATCATATTATGTTTATTAATTACAGGAATAATAATCATCATTAGAAATGTCCTATTACTGGGTCAGTGAGGGCGCATACGGAGTCTGGCACCGAGGCGTCGGATGCGCATCCCCCTGCTCCGGCTCTCTCGCGGTGACTGCCCGCCTCGTGTCTTTGTCGTGGCTGTCAGCGATGCCGTAGGCAGAATTGCCAGCTAGCTCCCAGAGAATGACAAAATATATCGAAAAAATCCATAGAAAACAAATTTGTTCAGTATATTTGCCCAGCCGCGACTATGTAAACATTGGAGCCGGAGGGGGGAGGGTCAGAGATTTAGCCATAACTTTCTTATTTTTTTTAGAATGATATTTCACGATATAGCCATAAGCTAACAGATTAGGAGATTTTATTTTTTTTATTTTTTCGCCGCAGTACCGCCAAGAAGAAGTGCACAGGTTCATAGTGGACTGCATGACCTCCGTGGCCACGCCTACTCTCCAGGCAAGTGCTCTGGCTGACCTCCTCGTCGCTGCTGACCTCCGTGGCCACTTCACCCACGGACTCAATAGATTAGGTGAATAATTGAGCTTGAAAGGGTTAAGTGAGGATGTGTTTGGTGGCTGAGGCAGAAAAAAGCCATGGGCATGTGGATGTTTGAATTTATTTTTTGTTTTTTCGTTTATTTTTCTTTTTATTTATATATTTATCATTATTTCTGTTGGATTTATTTTTTTTGTTGCCATTAAATCTCATGTTTTGACTATCTCTCGTTTGTTTTTCTTCGTTTATTTCTATTTTTATTTATATATTTATCATTATTTATGTTGGATTTATTTTTTGTTGCCATTAATAATCTTATTTTGACTATCTCTCGTTTATTTTTATTTTTCTTTATATATTTATCATTATTTCTGTTGGATTTATTTTTATTGCCATTAAATCTCATGTTTTGACCATCTCTCGTTTATTTTTCTTTTTATTTATACATTTATCATTATTTATGTTGGATTTATTTTTTTATTGCCATTAAATCTCATGTTTTGACTATCTCGTTTATTTCTATTTTTATTTTATATATTTATCATTATTTCTGTTGGATTTATTTTTTGTTGTCATTAAATCTCATGTTTTGACCATCTCTCGTTTATTTTTTATTTATTCATATATTTATCGTTATTTCTGTTGGATTTGTTTTTATTGCCATTAAATCTCAGGTTTTGACCATCTCTCGTTTATTTTTCTTTCTATCTATATATTTATCATTATTTCTGTTGGATTTATTTTTTTTGTTACCATTAAATCTCATGTTTGACCATCTCTCGTTTATTTTTCTTCCTTTTATATTTTTATCATTATTTCTGTTGGATTTATTTTTTTGTTGCCATTAATCTCATGTTTTGACCATCTCTCGTTTATTTTTCTTTCTTTATATTTTTATCATTATTTCTGTTGGATTTATTTTTTTTGTTGCCATTAAATCTCATGTTTTGACCATCTCTCGTTTATTTTTATTTTCATTTATATTTTTATCATTATTTCTGTTGGATTTGTTTTTTTGTTGCCATTAAATCTCATGTTTTGACCATCTCTCGTTTATTTTTATTTCATTATATTTTTATCATTATTTCTGTTGGATTGTTTTTTTGTTGCCATTAAATCTCATGTTTTGACCATCTCTCGTTTATTTTTTCTTCATCTATATATTTATCATTATTTCTGTTGGATTTTTTTTTTTGTTGTTGCCATTAAATCTCACGTTTTGACCATCTCTCGTTTATTTTTCTTTCTATTTATATATTATCATTTATTTCTGTTGGATTTATTTTTTTGTTGCCATTAAATCTCACGTTTTGACCATCTCTCGTTTATTTTTTATTTATTCATATATTTATCGTTATTTCTGTTGGATTTATTTTTTTGTTGCCATTAAATCTCATGTTTTGACCATCTCTCGTTTATTTTTATTTTATCTATATATTTATCATTATTTCTATTGGATTCATTTTTGTTGCCATTAAATCTCATGTTTTGACCATCTCTCGTTTTATTTTTATTTTCATCTATATATTTATCATTATTTTTGTTGGATTTATTTTTTGTTGCCATTAAATCTCATGTTTTGACCATCTCTCGTTTATTTTTATTTTTCTTTATACATTTATCATTATTTATGTTGGATTTATTTTTTTGTTACCATTAAATCTCATGTTTTGACTATCTCTCGTTTAGTTTTCTTTTTATTTATATATTTATCATTATTCTGTTGGATTCATTTTTATTGCCATTAAATCTCACGTTTTGACCATCTCTCGTTTAGTTTTCTTTTTATTTATATATTTATCATTATTCTGTTTTTGTTGCCATTAAATCTCACGGTTTGACCATCTCTCGTTTATTTTTATTTTCATCTATATATTTATCATTATTTCTGTTGGATTTATTTTTTGTTGCCATTAAATCTCATGTTTTGACCATCTCTCGTTTGTTTTTCTTCTTATTTATATATTATCATTATTCTGTTTTTGTTGCCATTAAATCTCACGGTTTGACATCTCTCGTTTATTTTTATTTTCATCTATATATTTATCATTATTTCTGTTGGATTATTTTTGTTTGCATTAAATCTCATGTTTTGACCATCTCTCGTTTATTTTTATTTTTCTTTATACATTTATCATTATTTATGTTGGATTTATTTTTTTGTTACCATTAAATCTCATGTTTTGACTATCTCTCGTTTAGTTTTCTTTTTATTTATATATTTATCATTATTTCTGTTGGATTCATTTTTATTGCCATTAAATCTCACGTTTTGACCATCTCTCGTTTATTTTTCTTTTTATTTATATATTTATCATTATTTCTGTTGGATTTATTTTTTGTTGCCATTAAATCTCATGTTTTGACCATCTCTCGTTTATTTTTATTTTTATTTATATTTTTATCATTATTTCTGTTAGATTTATTTTTTGTTGCCATTAAATCTCATGTTTTGACCATCTCTCGTTTATTTTTCTTTTTATTTATATCTTTATCATTATTTCTGTTGGATTTGTTTTTTGTTGCCATTAAATCTCATGTTTGACCATCTCTCGTTTATTTTTCTTTTTATTTATATCTTTATCATTATTTCTGTTGGATTTGTTTTTTGTTGCCATTAAATCTCATGTTTTGACCATCTCTCGTTTATTTTTCTTTTTATTTATATATTTATCATTATTCTGTTTTTTGTAGCCATTAAATCTCATGTTTTGACCATCTCGTTTATTTTTCTTTTTATTTATATATTTATCATTATTCTGTTTTTGTTGCCATTAAATCTCACGGTTTGACCATCTCCCCAAGCAGAGTACGGTGGAGCAGGAAACGAATGTAAATGAAATTAAAAAGACTTAATAAGAAAAAACGTGTAGAGAATGGTCAATGGTTAATTGTTTAATACAAATAAAGGTACCAAACACCAAAGACCATATGGCATAAAGATGGTATGGGGCTGAATAAGTAACGTCATAAATATATATATATATATATATATATATATATATATATATATATATATATATATATATATTATATATATATATATATATATATATATATATATATATAATTTTTTTTTTTTTTTTTTTTTTTTTTTTTTTTTTTTTTTTTTGGGGGTAATTATTGACTTTATAAAGCCTATGCCATAGTTGGCTTTTTATTACTGTTTTACAGATGTATTTAACAGAACACAAAAGAGGAAGAGTGAATGAGAGCGTTATTGGTCTTATCTATATTATCTTTATCATCATCAATAACATTATCAATGCATTCATTTTTTTACAAACATTATCATCATTATCATTAACATCATCATTATCTTTATCATTATCAGTATCTACCATTGCCTTTATCTTACCATTGTGATTACTATCATTATTATCATTATTATTATGATCATTATCTTAACTATCAGTTAATCAATCAATCATTATTATCATTATCATTATTAACATTATTATCATTATTATTACTGTTGTTATCATTATTATTATTATCTGTACTACTATAGTTAGTATTATTATTATCATTATTATCATTAATCATTATCACTATTATCATTAATGTCATTGATATCATTTTATCATTATTATCGTTACTAGCATTGGTATTACCATTATTATTATCATTATTGTTATTATTAATGTTATTACCATTATCATTTATATCATCACCATTACCTTTACCATCAACACGGTTAAATAGTCAGGTAAATACAGGCATAAAATAGAGAGAGAGAGAGAGAGAGAGAGAGAGAGAGAGAGAGAGAGAGAGAGAGAGAGAGAGAGAGAGAGAGAGAGAGAGAGAGAGAGAGAGAGAGAGAGAGTAGAGAACAGAGAGAGAAAGAGAGAGATAAGCCTACATACATACAATACCTCTCATACAAAACTAACCTTTTTTTTAACAGAAATGTACGTAAACGACATGGTGAAGAAGGTGTGTGCCGGGGACGCCACGCCCGTTATCATAAAGGAAAGTGTCTCAACAGCCTTGGTAGACGGAAAGAACGGCTTGGGTCCCGTTGTGGGTAATTTCTGCATGGACCTCGCCATCCAGAAGGCTAAGCAGACCGGGGTTGGTTGGGTCTGTGCCAAAGGTAAGGGTTTCTGCCGGTTTGGGGGAAAGGCTAGAGCAGTAGCAACTCGAGGAGGTGTCATGGCGTCTGTTTTGGTGCTTGTTCAATGGAAATATAACCATTAAAACCGTTATTTTCCATCCTTTTCGAAAATTGAAGAGACCAAAATGATCGACCATATTCACAAAGCATCCGTAACTTTGGTGACGTCACCAAAATAAACCCCATGTGCTTTTTTTTCCCAAAAATAGAATCAGACGCCATGACACTTCCCCGATTACTACTGATGTAGCCTTTCCCGCTGGCTTGGTGTGGATGGTTCTAGCTGTCATTATTATCGTTGATACCAGTCTAACCTTTATTATAATCACTATTATTATGGTTATTATCGCTGATGCTATTGTTATCGCTAAATCTAATTAAACTCCCGATGATAGTTATAATAATATTCCTGGCAACACATATTTCGATGCTTCCATGAGCCGCCAAATCAAAACAAAGAACGAAAGGGATGCTAAGTATAAAAGTCCCCTTTATATTAATCATCTTTGAGCGTCTTTAAGATAAAGAAAATACAACAACTTTATTACAAATAAACGTTCTGATAGTACAAAAGTATCATTGCAATCACTGTGCTTACTGAAATAGTAATTTCAATGCAATGTTGTTAATGGTGATGACAATAATAGCAATAATATAGATAGTAAAAACAAAGATAAGTATTAAACAATTGATAATTATTTGTCATTATTGTTATCATTATTATTATTCATATTATTAACTTTATTATCATTATTGTTGTTGGTGTTTGTTGTCGTTGTCGTTATTATTATCATCATATTATTATCTGTTATTATTATTATTATTTCATCATCATTATTATTGTTGTTGTTATTATTACCTTTATTATTATCATCATTATCATCATCATTATTACTACTACTATTATCATTATTTTTATTATTATAATTATTATTAGTAGTAGTTAGTTTTCATTATCATTACTAACATTATTGTTTTGTTGTTGTTATTAATGTTATTATCATTATTAGCATTATTATTATTTTTTTATTATCATTATATATAGCAATAATGATAATAATAATAGTAATGATAATAAAAAAAAAAAGTAATAGTGAAGATAATGATACTGATCATGATGATTATAATAATGATAGTAGTAATAATAATCAAGATAATGATAACTGTCATAATGATAGTTATGATAGTGGCAGTAACAATAATAAAGATAATGAATGATGATAATGATAATAATAATAATAGTAATGATAATAATGATGATAACAACAGCAACAAGAACAACAACAACAACAACAATAATACATTGTACAGCAATGATGATGAGAGGAGGAGAAGGAGGAGGAGGATAATGATAAGAAAATATAATAATAATAATAATGATAATGATAGTAATAATAATGACGATAACAATAATATTGGTAATATTTGAGCAGCCTCTACTTTCAGAAAGTTTTCACAAACACGTTTTTTTTTTTTTTTTTTTTTTTTTTTTTAGCAAATGAAACAAGCAGATTCAGCGCATGAGAAAGCTCTATGAAAAATTCTTTACACACATATATATTTCTTATTTTGTTGCTTTTTATATGCATATACTTTTCGAGTTGTTTCGCATGTTCAAGAGAAAGCCAAATGTTCACAAAATTTGTTCTCAAAATTTGTAACCTGTTCTTGTTGTTGTTTTTGTTTTTGTTTTTTTTGTTTTTTTTTTTGTCCGAAATGCTTTTGAATAACCACAAGTGACTTTGTATTTCTTTTTTTTTTTTTTTTTTTTTTTTTTTTTTTTTTTTTTTTTTTTACTTTTTATACGTCAGTCATTTTTTTTCCTTTTTTCTTTTTTTTGCTTTTCCCTCAACCCCTAAACTATTTATGAAGACAAATTCCATAAGTATCATTTTCTGAAATACATTATAACGATGTATATGATTAAACCCAGAAATGCCACCCTAAAAAAACCTCTTTCTCTGATGATATAATAACTAATGACTAATTATGATGAGATATTCACTATGTATCTCCTTAATGTTCAACATATGAATTACTATATATATATATTATATATATATATATATATATATATATATATATATATATATATATATATATATCTCTCTCTCTCTCTCTCTCTCTCTCTCTCTCTCTCTCTCTCTCTCTCTCTCTCTCTCTCTCTCTCTCTCTCTCTCTCTCTCTCTCTCTCTCTCTCCTTTTTTTATTTATTTATTTATTAATTTTTTATTTATTTATTTTTTTTTTTTTTTTACTATAAATGCGTAAAAGGCAGTAAAAACAATTTGAAATTCCCCTATTTTGATTTTTTTTCTACGAAGCGTTAATAGCAATAGTGCAATTAGTTGTTAATTAGTTGTAATGGTTATTAAGACATTAATTTAAAAGGCATATAACGGGAAAAATTATGTTATTGAATAATCAGTCTTTAGTTTGAATTTCCTTTACATAGTAGTAGAAAAGTTATTTTTTTCCGTATACCTTAGATCCACTCACTCACACTCACACACAACACACACACACCACACACACACACTACACACACACACCACACACACACACATCACACACACACACAGCACTACAGACACACACAGAA